CTTGTTGACTTATATAGCAAACAAGCAGCATACCTCCCACGGCATTTTTTTTCTTTGTGGCATTTGAAGGTGTATTATAATCTCATTGTGTCTCCTTCAGCATATACATGTATATTGGAAAGTTTGATATGAACATCATATCTATAGTGCCACATGAGTCATTCAGAGATCAAGAAAGTAAATAGAGCATTTCTTAACAATTGATTATACACTGCTTTGTGCACAGTTTCCATTTTGCCATCACAATATCAGCAGAATATAGAATTGCATTCTTGTTCAAATATGCACAATAAAAATTCACATGAATACTGATAACAGGTAATTGTAAGAACTCAATTTTATTAATGTATTTGCCAAATAATAAAATATATACTCCAAAATTAAAATGTTTGTGTAACATTTTGCCTGAAATTTGTTGTAATATATATACTTTTTGGCTATTTGAAAGCTGAAATGGAACTGTTTGTATATGCTTATTTTAGAAATTTGGAAACTGTTTTGAAAGATGACAGACTGAAACTGAAACAAATGCAGATGTTTCAGCCAGTATTTACTGAGGAACAAAAAAAGGAATTATTTGAAGTTCATCCATGGATTCAGAAAGGTGAACTCCCTCAGGCTCTTGCAAATTCGGTATGTTTTAAGGATTTTTTAAAATTTTAAATATAAAATATTTTATTTGTGGCTAGTATAATAAAGACTATATAGGTCACACTAGAGTTAGAACATTTGAGTACACCACATTATTTTTATACCTCTATCTATCTATCTATCTATCTATCTATCTATCTATCTATCTATCTATCTATCTCTTTGTAAATCTGTAAGGCCACCCGTATATCCAATGAAATTTCTGGGCAGGGTACATACCATATAAAACATCAGCAAAGGTAAAACAAACAAACAAACAAAACAGGTTGAGGCCCTCTCATTAAAAACACAAAACACCTAGGGCATACATCCATGCCAGAGTTCTCAAACTAACAACCTGGCCCCAATGCCTGAGGGCAGAACCAGCTTTTCACAGCCTTCCAAAAGTATTGTAAGGTTGGGACTGTCCAAATCTCTGGGGGAGGCTGTTCCATGGGGCAGGCACCATAACAGAGAAGGCCCACTTCCTAAGACCCAGTGGGTGACATAGCCTCAACAAGGAGACTCGGCTTATGCCCACTCTGTCAGATCTTGTGAGATCAGCATAAACCTTTGGGAAGAGGCAGTCTTGGAAGTAACCTGGCCCCATGCCATGCAGGGCTTTAAAGGTGATGACCAGCACCTTGAATTGTACCTGGAAGCCTATTGGGAGTCAGCATAGCTCCCATTGCAGTGGTGTTATGTGGGTATATCATGGTGTGCTTAATACTGCATGTGCTGCCACATTCTGGACCAGCTGAAGTTTCCAAATACCCTTAAAGGGCAGCCATGTGTAGAGCATGTTGCAATTGTCCAGTCGGAAGGTGACTAACAATAGAATTCAGTCTCAATATATTCAGTCCAGATTACTCCAGCCAACTGTCTTAACATACATCCTCTTATGGGCACAAATATTTCCCAGAAAAAAATATTAAACTCTAGGATTCCAGTTGATTAAAAGTTATGGTTCACTTTTTCTTTGAAGGTTTGTGTTTATTGTGAAGAACATTAATAGCTTATCTTATGTACAAAATGAAGGAGAAATCCATGAAATGGAGCTTAATGAATGAGATGGTGAGAACAGTTCACCCATCTTAAACCAATTCAACAGTGAAAATGTGTAATCCGTGAAGATAATTTCAAAATCACCTGCTTTCAGCTATGGCAAATGCATCATTCGATCTTAAAGATTAAGTTTGTTTCTTGTGAAATGAATCTCATATATCAAACAAATGGATTTTTTGTTCTAAAAAAAGGTCATTTGTTAATAATCTCTTTATGTGGGCATGTCTTTCTATTTCTATGAGCAATTGTTGAAAATGATTTTCTTGTTTGCATTTAAAAAAAATATTTTCCATTTGAAATGTTTACACTTGTAGTTCATTAAAGTTATAGAAAATACTTACTACAACCTGACTGGACTCCATAAGGAATATTATAAAAATACGATGCCATCCTAACATTTCTTTCCTATCTCCATTTTTTTTCAGTAACAGGAACTATGTATTTTCCAGTTCAGAAATATCTTAAATGATTTTGAGATTAATAGTTAATAAATAAACTATTTTATAAGTGTTCCAGTTATAAAATAAACTGTTAATAGTTAAAATATATATTGATTTACTAATTTAAATGCTATAGCAGTATCTTCTTCCTTCTGTAATCTCCAAATCTGGGGGAGAAAAATTTTTCAGGTCAGTAAATAATAATATTATTGTCTTTGAAACTGTTGCATCAGCATTGTATTTGGTAAACGTTATAGTTTAATTTGCTCCACTGTCCTCATCTCACAACTCATTATTTTAACTCTTATTTTAGAAACAGACTTGCATATAACCATAAAAAAATATGCTAATGCCTCAGAATGAATTTTTATGTCCTCTCTTTCAAGTCACAGGTCACTCTTAAAGTCACATTTTGTACTGAAATACTGTTTGCCCATCAAGGAGAGCCTAATCTTAATGTTGATGATAATTCCTCTAAGGTGAAAACAGAATATATATTTATTGTGAAGGAAAATCACACAATAAAGATTATACCAGTCTCTGTTAATTACCTTCCTTTGCTTTATGAGATACCATTGACTAGTTTTAACCATCTGGATTACTTCCAGTTTTCTCTCTACTGATTCTTTGGTCACAGAATGAACAACAGTGCCACTTTTTTTGTAGCGTGAAGAATGTTAAAGTATATTTAGAGCCTTGTCTAACTCTGCGGCTGTGTTTAGTCCATCTATATATAATTTTGAATCTTCTGTTTCAAAGGTTAGATCGAAAGATTCTAGAATAGATGGATGTCACAGTATTGTTCCTGAATAACATAGAAGATTATTTCTAGAGTCAGTTAACTACCCAAAGAGATCCTTTGTTTAAGTAGATACATAATTTTTCCAAACAATTTTCTTTGAGTTCAAAACTGGTAGAAGAACTACCATAGTTACAGTAGGTGCTATTAAGTCATGCTTGATTCATGGTGAACAAATACCATTTGTCAATGGCAAGTAAGAACTGAAAATTTTCCCAGTGAAGCAAATATCTGTCAGTATTGTGCTGTTTATGCTTTACCAAAGTACTTGGGAAATCATATATTGACTTTTGTGTTTTTTCAAAGTTTCCTGCTGATTAGACATTTGCAAGCATCTTTCAGTGTGAATCAACACTGCATGATCTTCTAATTAAAAGCCAGCAATTTACTTTCAGTACATTACACAGAGTTGTACAAAGTAAGTTTCATTTATCCTTGCTTCGTAGAATTCTTTCTGGTATCTTCTAGTTTTTATATTATTGGAGAGGATAAGTAATAACTGCATTTTGTCCATTTGTTCTATACCTTTCTCTCAAATGAATTCATTACATTTAAAAAGAATCAAATTTACATTCAATAAACATGGAGCTTAATATTTTTGAGTACATTTTAAGTCCTCATTATTAAATAAATATTTGTATGTTATGTAATATTGGTAGTATATCGGCATGTAATGCATACCCTTTTATGCTTCAGTAACTGTTCTAAATGTTACATGTCCAGGCTCACTTTGAAAAATTTAGCTTTAGCTAATGATATATTCTCAATTCTAGTTTTACACTCACTTATGCATGGATTTTATATATTATATCTAAATCACATGAAAAATTCTGAATGAAATACAAAAGGCTACAACCTGGAGTCTTACACGATTATTTAATCAGAAAGACTTTCATCCATGCTGAATGTCAGACTGTTATATATTGGTTGCTAAACTCCATGTTTCCATTAGATGTCTAAAGAAATACAGAAAAATCTTAGCTCCTTATTGCCATCTAATGATGATTAGGATTTTTGCAGCCTAGGTATGAAAAGCCTCCTGACTGGAAAAACTACTTTGGAAACTTGCAACAGCTTTAAATCAGTTTTGTGAAATATCATAACAGTGTCTGTAGGGTTTTTAGTCTGAAGTCTCATTAAAAGTGCTGGATTATGCAGGAATGGTTTAATAATATCAGTAGGTATACCAGTGTAAATTTATTAGATAAAAATATCCATCAAGGGAATATTTAATTCAAGAAAGAGGATGGAGTTGGTATTTAAAATGTTCTTACAATTTTTATTAAATTACAACCCTCCATTTATAAACAAGATTCTGAAACCAAATTTCTCCAAATGTATTGTAAGACTACTTCTTTAGCTTAACAGTACTTGTGTGAGAGACTTTTGCAAACATCATCTCTATATTGTAATGCATCTTGTTTTTGTCACTTGCATTAATTTTTATTACATGCTTTCTAGAAAACTGATAAAACAAATTTATTTTTAATTGCTATCTTTTTAAATACTTATTCTATATATCTGGTTAAATTATGGTGAATTAAGATGAATGAGAGATAGTTCCACACAATGATCGCAGTACTTTAAAAATTTACAATATATATCAGTCTGTGTGCTGTGCAGCTGTTTCCAGTGTTAATCTGCTGGGGAGAAGGCTTCAAGGATACATAGCCAAGTATCATGTGCAGCCTCTAAATTTCCTGTATGTGACCCAGTGCTCTCAATTTAGAGTTTTAAATCTCTTTTCTTCTTGTCTGATTGATGCCTGTATGATTTTTGTTTTCATAATTTAATGAATGGACTACTAGATTGAATGATAACAAACAGAGAAAATAACATTGTGAGTTATGTACTTCTGCCTTTTTGTACTTTTTTCATTTTCTGCCTTTTAAAGGAAAACATATACATCATAAATACAGGTAGTCCCCAGTTTAAGAACGAGTTCCATTCCCAAGGGCTGTTCTTAAATCAAATTTGTATGTAAGCCAGAACAGTATTATTGTATAATACTGTATAAGTAATGTGTAATTAATTCAAACCATTGTGTATTTAACTCAAATATTGCCACAGTAGGTTCCATTCTTAACTATGGGTCATCCTTAAACCAGGCATTCTTAACCCATATACACACAGACTATTTTGTCCTCAAATAACCCTATGACTAGGCTAGGCTGAGAATAAATGGGCCTAAAGGTGATCAAATGTTAAAAGAGAACCAGGTACATCCAGATTCACATCCATATTCAGCCATGATGGATAGTTTATTACTTTATTTATTTATTCAATTTACATAGCCACCCATCTCAACAAGTGACTTAGGGTGGCGAACAATGTTAAAAATAAAAATAAAATAATTACAATGACAACTACAAAATTAAAATACATAACCGAGAGAAATACAACAATCATTAATCATTAACACAACATGAAGATGGTCCCTTCACACCTCGGGGCCCCAGGCCTGGCCACAAAACCAGATCTATAGGGCCTTGTGAAAGGACAGCAGGAGGCAGGGCCAACCTAATCTCCAGAGGGATAATATTCCAGAAGGTAGGCGCTATGGTAGAAAAGGTTTGCTTTCTGCCCAGGAGCTGACATTCATTAGCCAATGGGACCTGGAGTACGCCCATCCTGTTGGACCAGATCACATGGATAGAAACAGCCGGGGAAAGATGTTCCTTTAGGTAACCCGGTCCCAA